TTTCCCATGTCAACAAAATACCTTAACCACCACATCATATGAGAGAGCATTCATCAGCTTGCCCTGCAGCTACTCTCTGAGGAGGTTCTTTTCTGTCTTTTCAGGAGTACTTAGCATCTTGTGACTTACACCAAGGTTACCAAAAGGACCAGGATTTAACTAGACAGCTCAGTGCTTGTTTCTCTTCCTCATTAATAGGTCATCTGACACCTAACCAGAGTACCACAGAACCTCCCCATAAACCAGTGGTTTTCAAACTTTAGCCTGCATCAGAACCAGCTGTAAAGCTTATTAATGGACGGAACCCTCAGAGATTCTGATTTACTAGGTCTGGGGTGGGGCCTGAGAATTTGCATTTCTAACTAAGTTCTCGAGAGATGCTTGACAAATTGTGAAGTTCTGTATAAATTTTAATGATTTCATCATTTTTAGCCTAAATTAATTACCAGGCATCCTGCTTTTCTAGTAAGTTGGAAGGAAACTGAAGTTAATGAACTAATAGTTGTGAGACGGCACTTGAAAAATTCTGCTAGTTTACACAGGGACAGCTCAACCAGAAAGAGCATGGTTCCCTTAGAAGGGCGGAGGAGGGGAATAGTCAAAATTTAAGCCACATCCTCATCAATATTTGTTGCTTATTGGCCAGTTGTATATCTTCTTGGATAAATCTTTATTTGCATCCTTTACTCACTTTTTTATTGAGTTGTATTTTTATTAGTTGTAAATTTTCTTTAGCATATTCTGGATACAAGCTCCCTATCAAATATATGATTTGCAAATATTTTCTCCCATTCTATAAGTTGTCTTTCACTTTCTTTTGATGGTGCCCCTTTTTAATTTTGATGAAGTCCTGTTTATACATATTTTTTCCTTTGGTTACTTACACTTTTGGTGTCTTATCTAAAAAACCATTTCCTACTCCAAGGTCACAAAGATTGACTCCTATGTTTTTCTCTAAGAGTTTTATAGTTTTCACTCTTACATTTAGGCATTTGGTCCATTTCAAATTAATGTCTGTGTGTAGTATGGCATAGGCATCCAACTTTATTCTTTTGCATGTAGATATCCAGTTATCATCCATTATTTATGGAGTCCTCTCTCTATGCCAGGTGCTATCCTAGATTCTGGGAAAACAGAGATAAGTAGAACATAGCTGTTGCCTCATAGTGGGGGGGGGGGATCATGCATAAGTAGAGAACAGCAACATGGTGAAATAATGTGGGTATGATGCTTAGTACTGTGCCTGGCCCCTAAAGTGTATATAGCAAATAGTAGCTGCTACTATAATAATAATATCTATTAATGTACTTATAAATTTCAGTTAAAGAGGTATGTTCAAAGTGCTGTGGCAGGAGGGAGTGACTAACTTATCCATGTCTCAAGACTGGCTTCACTTTGGGCCATCCCCATCACTTCTGGAGCCGAGGAAGAGGAGGGGTACAGGAAGACAAGTCTCTCAAAGGCCAACCTTTTTGAGAAAGGAGGGACCTCAGGAACGGGTGTCATGGGAACATCTGGTTTCCTTGTCCCTGTGAATGTCAGCTCAGAACAGGGTTATGTGATTGCTGATTCCTGTTCCAGTCTGTACCCAAGAAAGAATGACTTCTTCATGTGTTTGTAGATCTCTACAGGCACTTGAGGGAATCGTGAAGGCTGATTATGGATTATATAATGTTTCTAAATAGATTATATAAGTACATTGTCTTGATATTACATAATTAGGATTTAAACTCTCTATTCCCTGGTAATCATATAGTGTATCCTCAAATTTATCTTCTAAAGTATAGACCAATGGGAGATTTTTCACATGGAATATATGGTATTTTGTGTGAAACATCATAAAATGTTATTTTATTTAATCCCATCATATGAATTGATCTCTTAGTGGTAGGAAGTATGGCTGTGTTATATATATATTTTGGGCTCCACAATAAAAAGTTATCCAATTATAGAAAGTAATCTTAAGAAATCACTTTTTCAAGTCTTTCCATTATAGTAGTTATTTTTTTGTCATCTGCTAGTACATGTTAGCAGAAAAGTGTGAACAGCTGCCATACGTGTAAGAACACTGTGTTGGGGTGAAAAAACTTTAAGTTTTTTCTAATAATCAGTATACCCTAAGTTAAACTACAAAACCCTTCAGTCCAGTTGGATAGGATAGTTGTTTCAAAGAAGGATAATTTTAGAACCACTGAGTCAGAATTTAAATTTTAATTTAAACACATTATATTTTATCAAAAAGTAAAGGTTTTAGTGTCTGGTCTTAACATCATATATTATGTCCACTATGGATTTTTATTCCATCTTAGCTCAGGTCATCAGAAATTTGCTGGCTGCCTGTTATATGGGAGGTAACCTATCTAAGTCTAATGTCCTGAAGGAGCTGATGATCTGAGGAAGATAAACAGTCCAGTAGAGGTCACACACATTGCTAGTAATAAGAAGGAGCAACTTGTATGACAAATGCTCTAACAGAGTTATCAGGGGCTTAGAAACACGGGCAAGGAGAGGTTGGTTCAGATTCAGAATGGGGAAGATCCGGGAGAGCTTTCTTGAGGAGCTGGCATGTGAGCTGAAACTTGAAGGACCAGTGGAGCTGGAATGGGAGAAGGAAACTGTGCGTGAAGACTTCGAAAGTGGAGATGGAGGACGTTGAGGAAGTAGAGGTAACCTAGAATATAGAATAATTAGGAATTTATAGGAAGATAGGGAAGAGCCGCATTTTACACTCTTGATTATACCCAACTCATGAGTCTAGCTTTGATGCTCTGCACACTAGGGAGCCATGGGGGCGTTTTGAGCAGGGCGGGGGCATGATCAGATCAGTTTGGGAGTAAGTCAAAGGATGGGTTAAATGTGGAGAAGAAATTATAAACCATTATTGAAAGAAATGCCATATTTTCCATTAAAAATTCCAATAGGTAGCTTTCGTGTGATTAGAAGTATTTGACACAGAAGTTCATGTATTTAAATTGTAGTGGTTAATTATGCGTCCAGCAAGCTGACTACTCCTCTTATCTGATAGCAATGACCAAGCATAAGCTTATAAAAAGTAACACTGATAAAGCATGAATCAGCAGATGAAAACAAACCAAGGTGAAGGAAGACTGTAGGTAAGACTCATTCCCTAGGTTAGGATTGAACCCAATTACCTGGATTTGCAATCCAGCTCTGCCATTTATGAGTGACTGTGTAACGTTAGGCATCTTACATAACCATTCTGTGCCTCAGTTCTTTCCTCTGTAAAATGGGGATAATGATAGTATTCATCTTGAGGGTTGTTATGAGGATCAAATGAATCAATATCTAGAAAGTTCTCTGAACAATGCCTGGTATGTAGATAGAGCTCAATAAATGTTAACTATTATTATTCAGTTGTTGGACAATAAAAATGAACTGCCTGTGACACATTACAATTTACAGAGTGCTTTCACATACCCACTAGGTCATTTGAGCTTCAAAATGCCTTATGGGTACATTTTATTCTGTGAATCAGGCATTTGGACAAGGTACAGTGGGAATTGCTTACCTCAGCTTTGCAATGTCTAAGCCAGCAGCTGGAGATGACTTGAAAGCAGAGCTGAATCAACTAAGATCACAGATCCCCTGCCATGGTGGCTTCTTTGCTAAAATCTGGCTGGCACCTTGATGGGATGGCTGGAAGGCCAGGCTCAGCTGGAACATGTGGTTTCTACACCATGGTAGTCATCATACTTCTCACTTAGAGTGTTTCTGCAGCAGAAACCGCATGACCTTTATGACTTAGCCCCAGCAGTCTCATAGCAAACACTTCCCTGTTCTCTACTTGTTAAAGCGTCACAACCTGCTCAGACTCAAGGGAAGGGGATAGAGACCACACTTCTTGATGGGAAGCCTATCAAAGAATTTGGAGGCATGTTTTAAAATCACCATACTGGTATTTCCCCCTGATTCTAGATGAGAAGATCAGGACTCGGAGAGGTCAAATAATTAGATGAGGATCAGTTGCACAAATGGTAACTGGGATAGTTAAGGGGTATGGGATGGGGGAAGTTGGAAGAGGAAAAGGCTTCTAACCTAATTCTTTGACTCCAAGTTCTTGGTCTTTCAATAGCTCTATTCATCCTTCTTTAGCTTAGATATACTAGTACAGTTAACCCCTGAATAACATCGGTTTGAACTTCGTGGGTCCACTTACATGCAGATGTTTTTCAGTAAATATATTTGGCCCTTCGTATCCATGGTTTTTGCATCTGCAGATTCAACCCACTCCAGCTCAAAAACAGTATTTTCCCATTCCCAGTCCTGTTTCAGTCAGCAGTTGGTTGAATCCACGGTGCAAAGGGCTGACTGTAGAGTCAAAATTTACTCGTGGATTTTCAACCGTGCAGGCATCAGTGCCCCTAACCCCCAAATTGTCCAAAGGTCGACTGTGCTTGCTAATATGTGAAAGTTAAAAGGAGAAAAATTTAACTGACTTTGTGTACAGGGTGGACAGAAGTAGGTTTATACTTGTGAGTGCGCAAAACACTGAGTTAATAAAGCTATTGTAATCATCATACCCTGCATGTCTTTTTCCATATGAGAAACTGTAAACCTACTTTTGCCAACCCCTTATATTAGGTAACTTTCCTAAAAAAGAAACAGAGATGTAAAAGTATAGTTTGTTTTTATATAGGCTTGTATACAAACTTCGTATTTTAAGGAGGTCCTGGGATGGGTCAGTCCTGAGATTAGTCAGAAAGCAACGTTTTGTAATCATCATACCCTGCATGTCTTTTTCCATATGAGAAACTGTAAACCTACTTTTGCCAACCCCTTATATTAGGTAACTTTCCTAAAAAGAAACAGATGTAAAAGTATAGTTTCCATTTATATAGGCTTGTATACAAACTTTAAGGAGGTCCTGGGGTGGGTCAGTCCTGAGATCAGTCAGAAAGCAACATCGTATAATTTTCTCCCTAAGGAAGGGTCTCTGAAAACATCCCAGATGCTTAACTGTGATTTCATTTGTTCTCTAGGAAAATCTCACCTGGCCATTGTCCAGCGGGTGAATAATGAGGGAGAAGGGGACCCCTTCTATGAGGTGATGGGCATTGTCACACTGGAGGACATCATAGAGGAGATCATCAAGTCAGAGATCCTGGACGAAACTGACCTCTACAGTAAGTGCATGGCGTTGGCTGTTGTCCAAGGTCATCTGCTTTTCCTCTGTGACTCTCAGAGCTGGCTTAGTGTGATAGACAGTGTGAAAGAGTGTATATCAAGCCCATGCATTCTGTGTGTCAGCTCCCTAATGCCAGGTGCAGGCATGGCAGGGTACTCTGGCTTGAATTACCTGGGTCCCTGAGAACATGCTAGCTCAAAGATTTTCACCCTTTTTTATCTCGTGGCACACATAAACTAATTATATTTTGGGCCGAGTTGACAAAAAAAAAATAGCTATAATTTTGATTCATTCACACCAGACAACTATTTTTGTATTGGCTATTGTCATTTTTTAATTTTACAGTATAATCTAAGAGGTCAGTGTCTCTGACTAAGTAGTCAGGCATTGCATGTTTTAAAAATACTTGCAGCGCACTGGTTGAAAATTGCTGTGCTAGCTAAATGTTTATCAGTACAGAACCTTCAGGAACGAAGACTATGAAAAGGAGACACACCAGACAACTATTGTTGTATTGGCTATTGTCATTTTTTAATTTTACAGTATAATCTAAGGGAAAAGAGGTCAGTGTCCCTGACTAAGTAGTCAGGCATTGCATGTTTTAAAAATTCTTGCAGTGCACTGGTTGAAAATAGCTGTGCTAGCTAAATGTTTATCAGGACAGAACCTTCAGGAACGAAGACTATGAAAAGGAGACCTCCTGGCCTTTGGATGAAAAAGGAACTAAAGGAAACAAAGTATACCTGAGGTGGCCACTCTGCCCTTGATTCTGTCCTGTGTTGTTCCTGTTTTGTCTCTTTAACCACCCAGATACAGACCCCAACACACCCTGGGATTCCACTCAACAATCTACTTACACCAAAACTTCGTGCGCAGTGGAGACTGACCTGAGATTTCATACCGAAACCCAAGCCAAACCTTCAACATCCCTTCTTACACACTGCTCTTCTCCCTTATGTTTTTTTCAGCCCTTCCAGCTGGTTTCTTCTCCCTTCCCCACCCCTGGCTCCTGTCCCTGCTTCTGACCCTGCTCCCTCCTTTCTGGTCTCCTCACCTTCCTACCCACTCTCCCACAGGAACGATATGGACTCCTCCATGCAGATAGTGACTGCTTTTGGTTACCCAGTCTTATCAAAGCTTTCCTTGCAAATGTTACAAAGTTGTCTCTAGAATGGGAGTGTTATCTAAATCCATGGGAATCCCTAAACCAGGAAGTGTTTCCTCCGAATTTCAGCTCATGGGACAGCAATCCCTTTTCCTCCCCAATTCTCTCCCCGCAGAGGGGTCAAGGTTGAAGCAGGAGAATTGTGAGTGGGAAAAGGAGGTGGCATGCCTCCAGTTCTGCTCAGAGCATGGTTAAAATCAGGAAGAGACCAGGTGAGCCCAGCTCTGGGGACAGAAGAGGGGCAGAGGCACAAACCCTCTGGGACTCCCAAATCCCTAGATGCTGAGAATGCAAGTCCCTGATGTTTGAATGCCTTTTTGTAAGTACTTCACAGGTAGCTTTTGGTTCAAGTCTCATAATAACTCACGAGATGAGTAGAAAAGTTATTAATTATTAACCTCGTTGTATAGATTAAAACAAACAAACATTCTGATGGTTGCACAGCTCATAAATAGGGGACCAGCTCAAGAACCCTGACCTTGGGAGTCCCAGGCCACCCTTTCCCCTTTTCCACCGTGCACCACCTAAATGTAGATAACACTGAGACAATTACACCACCTCTCACCTGTCCCTGATCAACATCCTTTCACTCCCTCGGAGAGGTAATGTCATCTACAGTTGACACTGCAGAAATTCAGGTGGTCTCAGAGGACCTGCCTGTCCCCCATAACTCTGGGAAAACCTCCAAAAACCAACAGTGATTCTGAGTTGCTGCATTCTGTCCCCTGTGATCCCCGCAGCCGACAATCGGAAAAAGCAGAGGGTCCCGCACCGGGAGAGGAAGCGACATGACTTCTCCTTGTTTAAGCTTTCTGACTCGGAGATGCGAGTGAAGGTCTCCCCACAGCTTCTGCTGGCCACACACCGCTTCATGGCCACAGGTATGACCCTGCCCACCGTGTCTCCATCCCAGGCAGAATCTGGAGGGCGGGGCCCATGCACCAATCATTTTTAATACTTCGTGACCTAATTCCAGTGTAAGACTGAGAACCACTGTTCCAGGAGAGGAGATTGCCTCAGGCAAGGGTGACAGGATGCCACATACTGTCAGTGCCAGTCCCCGCCTGATCTTCTAGGGAGGGAATGAATACATCCCAACTCTGCTTGTTGATCTTCTACTCAAGAAAAAAAGCTAAAGAAACCACTGCTACACTTTTCCCTTCCTCCACTTGCTTCTTGGTGGGAGACAGAGGCCGACCTGCATCCTGTTGGATTTGGGGTGCCCCAAACGATCTGTGGGGGGAGGGAAAGGCATTGTCCTATCCAGCAAAAAGGCCCTGGGGTCCAGTACCCTCCAGAGATCATATAGAGATACGAGTTCTTAAAATATGGAAGTGGATTGTGAATCTTGGGATCTTTAGAAAGAAAAAAAAAGTAAGAGGATCCAAAGATAAACTTGTGAAGAAGGTAAAGTTTGTCTTTGAACCCTCTGACCTTCTCACACAGGCCTAATTAATGTGCAGACCTCAAATGCACACCCTTTACAAAGTGCAATATTTAATTGATCCAGCATATGATTATTGACTATATGATGAGTACTAGTACTATTCCAGGTGTTAAAAAAAAGTAGAAAACTTTATGTTGCAATTCTTAAAAGTAGAGTTTTCAACATGTTATCTAGTTCTGGTTTCTTCTCCCTTCCCCACCCCTGGCTCCTGTCCCTGCTTCTGACCCTGCTCCCTCCTTTCTGGTCTCCTCACCTTCCTACCCACTCTCCCACAGGAACGATATGGACTCCTCCATGCAGATAGTGACTGCTTTTGGTTACCCAGTCTTATCAAAGCTTTCCTTGCAAATGTTACAAAGTTGTCTCTAGAATGGGAGTGTTATCTAAATCCATGGGAATCCCTAAACCAGGAAGTGTTTCCTCCGAATTTCAGCTCATGGGACAGCAATCCCTTTTCCTCCCCAATTCTCTCCCCGCAGAGGGGTCAAGGTTGAAGCAGGAGAATTGTGAGTGGGAAAAGGAGGTGGCATGCCTCCAGTTCTGCTCAGAGCATGGTTAAAATCAGGAAGAGACCAGGTGAGCCCAGCTCTGGGGACAGAAGAGGGGCAGAGGCACAAACCCTCTGGGACTCCCAAATCCCTAGATGCTGAGAATGCAAGTCCCTGATGTTTGAATGCCTTTTTGTAAGTACTTCACAGGTAGCTTTTGGTTCAAGTCTCATAATAACTCAAGAGATGAGTAGAAGAGTTATTAATTATTAACCTCGTTGTATAGATTAAAACAAACAAACATTCTGATGGTTGCACAGCTCATAAATAGGGGACCAGCTCGAGAACCCTGACCTTGGGAGTCCCAGGCCACCCTTTCCCCTTTTCCACCGTGCACCACCTAAGTGTAGATAACACTGAGACAATTACAGCACCTCTCACCTTCTGTCCCTATTGATCAACATCCTTTCACTCCCTCGGAGAGGTAATGTCATCTACAGTTGACACTGCAGAAATTCAGGTGGTCTCAGAGGACCTGCCTGTCCCCCATAACTCTGGGAAAACCTCCAAAAACCAACAGTGATTCTGAGTTGCTGCATTCTGTCCCCTGTGATCCCCGCAGCCGACAATCGGAAAAAGCAGAGGGTCCCGCACCGGGAGAGGAAGCGACATGACTTCTCCTTGTTTAAGCTTTCTGACTCGGAGATGAGAGTGAAGGTCTCCCCACAGCTTCTGCTGGCCACACACCGCTTCATGGCCACAGGTATGACTCTGCCCACCGTGTCTCCACCCCAGGCAGAATCTGGAGGGCAGGACCCATGCACCAATCATTTTTAATACTTTGTGACCTAATTCCAGTGTAAGACTGAGAACCACTGTTCCAGGAGAGGAGATTTGCCTCAGGCAAGGGTGACAGGATGCCACATACTGTCAGTGCCAGTCCCCGCCTGATCTTCTAGGGAGGGAATGAATACAACCCAACTCTGCTTGTTGATCTTCTACTCAAGAAAAAAAGCTAAAGAAACCACTGCTACACTTTTCCCTTCCTCCACTTGCTTCTTGGTGGGAGACAGAGGCCGACCTGCATCCTGTTGGATTTGGGGTGCCCCAAACGATCTGTGGGGGGAGGGAAAGGCATTGTCCTATCCAGCAAAAAGGCCCTGGGGTCCAGTACCCTCCAGAGATCATATAGAGATACGAGTTCTTAAAATATGGAAGTGGATTGTGAATCTTGGGATCTTTAGAAAGAAAAAAAAAGTAAGAGGATCCAAAGATAAACTTGTGAAGAAGGTAAAGTTTGTCTTTGAACCCTCTGACCTTCTCACACAGGCCTAATTAATGTGCAGACCTCAAATGCACACCCTTTACAAAGTGCAATATTTAATTGATCCAGCATATGATTATTGACTATATGATGAGTACTAGTACTATTCCAGGTGTTAAAAAAAAGTAGAAAACTTTATGTTGCAATTCTTAAAAGTAGAGTTTTCAACATGTTATCTAGTTCTGAATACAGATTTCTTTTAACTACTGACTGATTTCCTAGAGTAAAGCAGCTGTATCTTTTAATGTTACAGTATGATATAATATAATATCTGTTAACTTATAAATTTGATGCAAGGATGCTACACATTATTGAGAACATATCACTTAAATAATTACCATTTCTATTAGCTTGGAATTTCATTTCTTTCAACAGATATGTCACAAATAAGTCAGATTAAATTCTCTGTATTTCACTTGATCATTACAGTGAAAGTTTTGCTGTTTACATGCTTACTTAGCCATGCCCAACTCTGTTTTTTTAACCACTTTATTGAGGTATAAGTGACACACACAAAACGGTACATATTTAATGTATACAATTTGATGTGTTTGGAAATAAGTGAAACTATCACCACAATCTATGCCATAACTATGTCCATCTCCTCCAAAAGTTTTCCTCCCACTCTATTGTTATTTTTCTCTGTTAATATAAGATCTAACCTCTGAGTAAACTTTTAAGTATACAATACAGTATTGTTAACTGTGGGCACTGTGCTGTGTGGTAGATCTCTAAGGTTTATTCTTCTGGCATAACTGAAACTTTGACTAATCCCACCCTTCCCTCACCCTCCCACCACCCCAGGCAATCACCTTTTTGTCCTCTGCTTCTATGAGTTTGACTATTTTAAATTCGTCATATAAGTGATATCATGCAATGTTTGTCCTTCTGTGTCTGGCTTATCTCACTTAGCATAGTATCCTCCAGGTTCATCCATGTTGTCACAAATAGCAAAATTGCCTTCTTTTTTTTTTATTTGTATTGATTTTTTAGAGAGAGAGGAAAGGAGAGGGAGAGAGAGACAAAAACATCGATGACAGAAAAACATTGACTGACTGCCCCCTGCATGTCCCCTACCAGGGACTGAGCCCACAAACCTGGCATGTGCCCTAACCAGGAGTCAAACCAGCGACCGCCTCGTGCGTGGGTCAACACTCAACCACTGAGCCATGCTGGTGGGGCAAAAGTGCCTTCTTTTTTAAATTCACATGCAACTTTAAATAAAGTCAAGTAGAAAATTAATAACAAAATTGACATTTCTAAAATGGTGACTTGTTTCTCCTGAGGTGCCAATACAGGGACACACATCCCCAGGGAGCAGGGGAAGGCCTGAGACACACATGGGTTTAAACCCTCACACACACACACACACACACACACACACACACACACACACACACTCACCTGAGTCACAAGAGCCCTTCCACACACACACACACACTCACCTGAGTCACAAGAGCCCTTCCAGCCTCATGCCTGGAGCACGAATGGAGGTGGCTCTAGACACGTGGCCTGGTTGTGCCCACCCTGACTCCTCCCACCTGCCGATTCTTCCTGCCTCCCACTCTCCCCTAGAAGTGGAGCCCTTTAAGTCTCTGTACCTTTCGGAGAAGATCCTACTCCGGCTCCTGAAACATCCCCACGTGATCCAGGAGCTGAAGTTTGATGACAAGAACAAGAAAGCCCCGGAACACTACCTCTACCAGCGCAGCCGCCCCGTGGACTACTTTGTGCTGCTGCTCCAGGTGCGTGGGAACATTCGAGTCCCTCTGAGGACACGACAAGGGCCTCCCTAGGCTGGAGAGGAATGGCCATGCCTCCCCACTGCCGGGTCCCAAGACTCAGCTGGCTGCCCTGGGAGCAAGGCCAGGTGGGGTGGGTGTTTGTCAGTGACCCACAGAAGGGGCCAAGTTTGACTGGTTGGTGTCCTACGAGTGGGGGGTTGGGGGGGGGATCTTGATGGCGTTTAGTCTGACCACTCAAGGATGTTCGTGGTGGGGTGCGGCAGGTACCCCTCCAGCAGAGGGGTTCTGTGACTGAACTTTCAAAACTGCTGTCCCACAGAATCCCTGACCCCTTCCTGTCTCTGCTTGGACATGCCCAGAAGTGGACCTGTCCTGTGCCTTCTCTCAAACTTCAGACGCTTCTTATTTAAAGCTTTTCCCTCTGTCAATCTGAAATCTCATCATCTCTGACTTCCACCTGGAGGCGCACAGAACACGTCCACTCTCTTGGAAACTTCTCAGTCTCTGCAGTCCCTTGATGCTTCCTCCTTAAGAGGATACGGAAGGAAACTAATGACCGAGTGAGAGCGGTGCAGCATCTTCCCGGTCCTCACCTCTGCCCTGGTGCCCGGATAGGCCTGTAAATGCGTGCTGGGCGTGGTTCCGGCACTGGATCCTGCTGGCGCCCTGGCCTGGCTCCACCATTAGCTCTGTCACTCCTCCATCTCTTCCCAACAATATCTTCTGAACCCTAAATACAGTGACTGGCTTAAAATCTTAATTAAACTTACAGTAACTTACAAGTGGGCTCTATTTTGTCTGTCCACCTGCACTCCGTCTGCTCTGACACGGTAGTGTGCCGCATGCCCATTCTTCCAGATAACCTCAATAAAATGACCTTCTCCAAAATGGGGTCACATTCTTCACTGCTGGAAATCAGGAAGGGTTCTGTCACTTTTTTAAAAATAACATAATGACCCATACAATTTACTGTTTTATGCTTCATATAAACGTAACTGTTTTAAATCAAAGCTGGAGGAAGTAAAATATAGTGGCAAGAGTGTAAATTCAGATATTGGAAAGATCTGGCTTTAAAATTCCAATATTGCCGTTTCCTAACTAACCTTGACCTAAGTGATTTAACCTTTCTGAGCCTCAAAATTTACTCATCTATAAACTGGAGGTGAAGGCAGGAGGGGCCTCATAGGGTTGTGGGACCGATTGAATGAGAAACCATGCCGAGCACATAACACAATGTCAGCCCCATAGACACACACCGTATGCTACACATAAGCTGTCGTCACTAGTGGTGATGGGTTAAACAAGCTTCACACAGAATCAGGATTAGATTTTATTTCAACCAGATTTAGAGATGGTCTCATCTCAGAACAAGCCAGTGAGTCCGTTCATAGGGCCCTGGGCCAACTGATGCTTGGGCCTGCATCATGGGAGGCCATTGCAGTATGCAAGGAGAGCTCGGGGTTATTTGTGACTGGATGCAGCTTTATAAATTAGGCAATTAATTCATTGCAAAGGGCTACTGAAGCTGGCAGTGCTATTTCTGACACGTAAATCTGGACAGGATTCACATTTCCCTGTGATCAGCTCTTAAGTCTGCTTGTTATCCAGACAGAAGCTTAGGGTTGTGGTCAATAATCGAACTGGAAGTGTGTGCACACACCCTTAGCACACTGCCTTCTTTCTCCAGGGGAAAGTGGAGGTGGAGGTTGGTAAGGAAGGCCTTCGCTTCGAGAATGGAGCCTTCACCTACTATGGTGTCCCAGCCATCATGACCACTTCTTGCTCAGGTATTCCAGTTCCCAAGCCATAGCGTATTGGGGAAGCAGTGGGATATTGTAGAAAAAAGCAGCTGGGTTCAAGTCTTTGCTCCTATTAGGAACCCTGGGCAAGCCCAGTAACTTCCTGGGCTTTAGTGTCCTCCTCCATGAAGTGGGAATAAGACTCATTTTTCGTTCAGAGAGTTTGTTCGTGGAAGTACATGGTAGACAGTAATGTTATCAAATGTTAGGGATGGATAGTGGGGGTTTTTTTAGTGTGAAAAGACAAGTTTATTTTTCTTTTTACACTTCCATTTGATTGTCTGGTGTGTTGTGTTGTTGTTTTTCCAGGTTCATTGATGCTGGGGGTGGGGTGGGAGAGGGAGACCCTCGATAAGAAGGTGTACTTTCTGAATTGCCTCTGAAACACGTTGCATCTTTCTGTCCTCAGATAATGATGTGCGGAAGGCGGGAAGCCTGGCTGGATCCTCTGCCTTTCGTATGTATTTCTCAAACCCCTCCCTCATGCTCCCCATCGTAGTCCTGCCTCAGCCCCCTCTGGGGACCCGGACCCAGCACTCTGAGCCTGGGCTGGGGCTGGGGCTCACACAAATGCTGGCAGCCTCTCTGTAATGCTCTGCCAGGAACACTGCTTCTTGCCAGGTACTCGCAGACCACAGGGGCTTCGTTTCTGTGTCTGGAATGTTTTCTGCTGCTGCTCTGCTCATGTACAGTGATGAACGGCAGGGAGGGAGGTTGTGAGGGGAGGCGCCATTTATTGTCACACATTTGTGTGCTCTGGTGGAGGTTCGGCCTTTCCTTCTCTGCGGTGATAACTCACCCACTGGCCTTTACTTGAAAACTTAATATGCCGTTCTTGTGTCTGTGGGGTCAGTAGGAAGTGACTGCAAGATCTTGGGATACAAGTCCCAGGCTGGTGCGATATGTTGCTTATCTGCTTCTCTTTCCTCCTTCACCACATCTCAGCTGGAGGAGAGGTGTCTGCCAGCTGGCCGTGCATGCTGATGGTGGTGGGGGCTGGCACGGGGCTGCTGGCTGGTTTGCTCTGCCCCTTCTATGCTTTACCTACTTGCTGTTTCCTAAATAGAATTGTTGTGCTTGTGTTTAGAAGGCATGGCATTTATTGTGATGTAAGTGTGATGCTGAAAGAATGATTTCTCTAGAATTTATTTTTACTCACTGGTCTGACTTTTGCATTGCTTTCAGCTGTTACTGTTTAAAGTGGCTATTTTAATGCCAAGTGGAGTGTTTTCTCTTATCATAAAAAGCATTTTACGTAGTGTTTTATATTGGATTTCTCAGAGGGTCCCAACGCTGGATATCAATCCCTGGCACATGAAAGATAGATACCGTTTTAACGTGGAGAAACTAAAGAAGTGACTTGCTCCAAATCACCCAGCATGTTGGTGACTTACATAGATGCATGCCGGTGCCCTGACTATTGCACACAACACAATGAAATACAGATTGGAGAGCCATCATGTTCCAGAATGCAATCTCTATGTGGGAATATTGGAAAAATTTATGGTATAATTTCACATCCTAGCCCAGCATAGGGCTGAAATGAAATTAGAGTAGCTACCCACACCCAAGGGGTGGCCCAACATGAGTTGAAGGAGATCTGTAAAATAAAAACCCTGGTTCATTAGTATACTTATATAAGCCAACAACTCTCAAGTAAGGTTCTCAGTACTCAGAATGAGAACTCTGTGGGGGTGAGGGATGTGCTCCAGGACCGGACTTGGTTCTCTAAAGGAGATGTCCACCCATCACATTGCTCAATGTAGAGCAACTTCCGGGATTCTAAATCTTACCTAGACTTGTTGGCCCTGTTCTGGCTATTCCAGAAGACCAAAAGAGGTGGGAACTCTGGGGGAAGGGGATAATTACGACTCCCCAGCCCACCTAATTTAGATGACATTTTAAAAGTATATATAGTTTAAAGTAGTAGGAAGATGTTATCCGGTTTTCTCCTTTCCTTCATTTCTGTCTCTAGTTTTTTTGTATCAGAATCCTTCCATTTTATCAATGAGATGGGAGTATACTTGCAACACAGGTCTCTCCTTCAGAACTGGTTAACTAAAAGGAAGCATTACACTCTTTTCCTCTCCCCACTTTTGAGCATCTTTAGAAATCTTCAGGAGGAAAAAAATCGAGTTAGTCTGTAAGGGGTATAGAGACATTTTCCATCCTTCCCCCAAACCCTCTCCACTTAGTGGAGTGAATTGTGAAATAACTCCAAAGACTAGCCACACCAAGCATGTCAAACTCAAAGGCTCACACGGGCCAAATAAACAAGGTTTAAGTTTACGTGGGCCACAAAAAAACAAAAGCTTCAATTTCCATAGAAACGTAGGTTTATTTCGATAGAGACATGCTGAATACAAAGGGCTGAAATAAATGAATGATCGTTAACATAAAATATAGAACATTTTAATAAAAATTAATATTTTTTTGAACATTAACTTACCAGACACTGAATAACTGCACAAATTAATAAGCGTAACACAAATAGACCTATTTTTCTTGTTCTCTGAAAGCTAAGTATTTCCTGTTGCACACACCAAACAAGTCAGTCCAAGACTAATGAC